CGGGCTCCATGCTAAGCTTCATGGCCTTGCTGGGCATGGCCGTCAAGAAGCCGGAGGAGCCGGGCAGGGTCTCCGAAAGCACGGCGGCCCGGACTGCAGGGCTGGCGCGCGCCAGTCGGTCGCGCAGGCTCGCCTCGTCCAGCGCGTCGGAGAGCGCCTTCTGCGGCTTCCGCGCGGCTGCGGCGTCGTCCAACAATCGGCGAGCGGTCTGCGCCGGCAGTGCGCCCTCGAGCGAGGCGACCGCGCGCTGAAGGCCTGAGCCGGCGGCCTCGGCATCCCAGCTGTAGCCGCTGTCGACCTGGGCGCAGAGGTCCTTTGTGGCAGCACGGGAGGCGAAGTACGCGGCCGCCGAGTGCCGTTGCGTGCTCCGCAGGCCCAGACCTGCGCGCCGGAGGCTAAGCGTGGCCTGTTGCCACTCGTCCGCGGTCGGCTGGAAGGCGGCGAGGTCCGCGAAAGCATCCCGAACCGAAGCGTCGAAGGCGGCCAGGGGGGCAGCCGCCGCCACGGGGTCCACGGTACGCGCTGCATAAGCCATCTTGCAGAATCCGGCACACTGTCGAAGGAGGCGGAAGCTGACCTGCGGGTCTGCCACCTCGGACACCGCCTTCGTGGTCGTACCCGCCGTGGCTGCCCTCTCGGCGAGCGCCGCGCTGCAGTGGCTCGCAGAGCCGATCGGGGCCCCGAGGAGCTCGAAGTCGCCAGACACGTTGACCCTGCTCTCGCCCGTCTGCTGGTCCCGAAGAAGCGCCGGCGGGAAGAGCGCCGCCAGCTCAGGCGCGAGTGCGCCGGAGGGCACGATCAGCTCGCTCTTGCCGAGGTTGAGGCGGAGCCCGAGGGGGGGGCCGTTCATCGAGAGGACCCGCAGAGCCTCTGCGACGGCCTCGGCGCTGCCCCCGATGACGCCGTCGTCGAGGTAGAAGAGTGCCAAGCTAAGACCTCCGCCCTCCCTCCTGCTGGCCAGCTCGGCGGCCAGCGGGTGCAGCACAAGCGAGAAAAGCAGCGGGCCAAGGGGGTCGCCTTGCTGAACGCCGCTCTGGGAAGGCACCTGCCAACGCCCAAACTGCAGCGTGCTGTGGGCGCCGTAGCACCAGTGACACCAGCGGGACAACTCTGGGAAGTGCTGCTGGGTTTGTCGTAGCACCTCGGCTCGGCGGACTGTGTTGAAAGCGTTGGCGAAATCCAACTTCAAGAGAACATGGTCCGCCCGCTGCCGGTGCCGTTCGGTCCACTGGCGAACCGTATGGACAGCGCACTCGCAGCCCAGTGGGCTCGACACGCCGGTCTGCAGTGGCCAGAAGTGTTCTTGAGCTCGCTCCTTGACCACCTGGCAGAGGGTCTTCGCCGTCAGGCGGCGTAGCACCTCCCCAACGGCGATAGGCCGGATGCCCCCGCTCTTCTTTTCGGACGCCATCAAAGCGGCACCGCCCAACGCCGGGGCCAGCGGCTCCGGCACGCGGCCGTCGGCGAGCATCTGCACCACCTCCGTGAGGAGCTCCGCCAAGGTGGAAGCGTGCGCGGGCGTGCGGGCGTCGGTCAAATGCTGCGCCCGGAGAGCTGACGGCCCTGCGCCGCTGCCTTTCGGGAAGGACTTGAGGGCCCCGGTGACCTGGTCGCTGGTGAGGCGAGGGGCTGGCGGGAGGCCTTCGGGAGACGCTGGCGGGGGAGGCGGCTCAGCAGGGTGCAAGGCCTCCAGCTGGCGGCGGGTATCTGCAGAGGGCTCCACCAGAGGCTCAGACACCAAGGCGGCGACCGCTTTTCTGTCCAGCCCTTCGCGTGTCAAGGCTTCCGCCCGGCGTAGCCGTGCTTCCTTCGAGTTGTCTGGCTTCCGCCGCTGCGGCTCGGCGAGGTCCGCCCAGAGATCGGCGCGCTCGCCGAGCTCCCAACGAGCCAGGCGGTCGGCTGTGAAAGCGGCCGCGGCTCTACCGTGGGCACGTCCGCGACGAGGCGGAGCCGCGAGCACACACTTGGGGAGCATCTGGAGCTCCGTCCACGCCTGCACCGAGTTGGTGTGTACGACCATAGCGAGGCACCTGGTCAGCGCTTGGGCCCAAGCGCCCCGACACTCCTTGGGGACATATTTCAACGTCGGCACCGGGCGGCTGTGGATATCCGCAAGGCTCGGCAAGCCAGCAGGGGCTGCTTGTGCCGGCGGAGCTGCGGGCGGCTGCGCCCGGGCCTGTTGTCGTTCGATCGGCCGGCACGTGGGATGGATGCCGCCGCGGAGCGTTGAGGCGCATAGCCCGCACACCCGGCAGCGTGTGCGACGGTTCGCCTGCATCCACTCACCCGGCACCTCCCCCCGTAGCTGTCCCGAGAGGTGCGCGTTGATGTGAGGGATCGCGGCACCCACCGTCGCCCAGCCTCTGTGGTCCTGACCAGGCCCGCATCGGCAGCCTTCCACCGGGCAGTGGACCCGGCCGTCCCCTGAACCTGGACCTCTGTGGCCACTCCGGCTCCGCCTCCTCCGCTGCCTCTCCGAGGGGGCCTCCATCGAAACTTGCCGCCTCCTCCTCGGCGTGCCCATGGGGACATCCAGAGAGAGTCCCTCAATGCGAGGCGGGGCATCGGCCGCGTCGGACGAATCCGGAGCTTCCCCTTGAGGCTCTGATGCACGGAGGCCCCGACGCGGAGTGTGGGACAAGGATCTGGCGCGCTGGCGGCCAGGAGGCGGGGAGACCAGCGCACTCCCAGGCCCAGGGTGGGTGGCTTCGCCGACCCGCGTGCCAGCGTAGCCTCCCTGCCCAGCCCCCCTGAGCCGGAGCTCCCCCAAGCGGCCAGCTGAAGTCATCGAACGGGAACTCGACGACCGGAGCAGCACGCGGCAGCGCCTCCAGCGGATCCGAACGGGTTCTTGCAGACCCGCGAGTGGGTTCCAGGGCACCTCTCGCTCCGCAGGCTCGATGCGCCAGCGCTCCACCCGCCGGCGGCGAACGCGCGCCCGCTCGCGAGCGGCGGCTGCGCGACTGGATGAAGTTGATGGCGAGTGCGGCCGCGGTGCGAAAGACGCAGTCGCGCGCTCCTGCACGACTGGCGAAGCCTGGGTGAGGGCGGCGATGGAGACGAACAGGCGCAGGGCGGCCCTGCCCCAGCATGCACCTCGCGTCGACCTCCGCCATGCGATCGGCCTCCCCTCAGTTGCGGCGGCTGTCCCCTGGCAGCCTCCGCCTCTGTCGGCATGCATGGCGGGGCATCGCCCCGGCGACGGCGCCATCGCGCGCCCGCGCCCCCGGGAGGGAGGGAGGGGAAGTGCGTGGGATCGAAGAGGGGCGTGAAAGGCTTGGGCTTGGGCTTCTTCTTGAGCCAAATTGTTGAAATTTCAGAATTTCCGAAATTCTGGAATGTCTGGAATTTCTGTGATTTCTGAAGGTCTGGAATTTCTAGAATTCCTGGGATTTTTGGAATATCTGGAATTTCTTAAATTGTGTCAATGTGTGGATTTTGTGGAATGTTTGAAATGTCTGGAATCTTGGGAATTTCTGGAATTTCTGGAATTCCTGGGTTTCTGGATTTGGTGGAATATTTGGGATTTCTGGAATTTTTGGAATCTCTGGAATTTCTAGGTTTTCTTGAATTTCTGGATTTTTTTTTTTTTTTTTTTTTTTTTTTTTTTTTTTTGAAATTTTTGGAATCTCAAGGATTGTTGGCATTCGTGGCATTCCTGGAATTCCTGGGTTTCTGGATTTCTGTGATATTTGTTGATTTTTTTTTTTTTTTTTTTTTTTTTTTTTTTTTTTTTTTTTTTTTTTTTTTTTTTTTTGTTGGAATTTCTGGAATTTTTGGAATTTCTGGAATTTCTGGAATTTTTGGGATTGCTGGAATTCCTGGGTTTCTGGATTTCTGGAACATTTTTGGGATTTTTGGAATTTCTGGAATTTCTGGATTTTTTTGAATTTCTGGAATTTCTGGATTTCTGAAATTTCTTGAATTTCTGAAATTCCTGTGGAATTTCTGGAATTCCTGGGTTTCTGGAATTTCTGGAATTTCTGGATTTCTGAAAGTCTGCCACCTTGTACTAGTTAGAAGGATACCAGAGGTTTGATAAATCCCAGAAATTCCAAACATTCCAAACATTCCAACAAAAAAAAAAAAAAAAAAAAAATCCAGAAATTCCACAGGAATTCCAGAAATTCCAGAAATTCCAGAAATCCAAAAATTCCAGAAATTCCTCAGGATAGCGGCGCCGGCCGTGACCTGCAATGGAAAATCCCCCTGTAGGGGGACGCGCCCGAGGTGGCGATAGAGCGCCCTTTCCCACCTCGGTCTCGCTCGCCGCTGCGGCTGCTGCCGGCGCGGGGGGGGGGGGGGGCGCCGCCTGCCGGGGGCCTGCCGGCCGCGGAGGCGGCGGGGGCGGGCGCGGGCGCCGCGGGCGCCGCCCCCCTGGCCGGGTGCTCCGCCGCAGAGCTCCCGCGGAAATCTCGGCGCTCCTGCGCGCTCGAGCGCCGTCGGCCCCCGCTGGTCGCCGCGCGCGGCACTCCGAGCCGCGCGTTGCACGATCCTCCTCCTCCTCCTCTTCCCCCTCCTCCTCCTCCTCCTCCTCCTCCTCCTTCTCCTCCTCCTCCTCCTCGACTCTCGCAGCGGCGACCCCGCGTCAGCGCGACCCCGCTCGGCGGCGGGCCACGCGGCAATGCGGGGGCGCGCGCCGAGGTCGGGGCTGGAGCGCGCCGGACCTGGTTCGCTGGGACTTGGCTCGCCGTCGGGCGCGCGCCGATCTCGCCCGCGCGCTCGCCGGCGCCGCGCCGCACCAGCAGCGCGCGGGCCTGTCAAAACCCGCCCCGGCGCCATTTGGCGCGGGCCCTCCGCCCGCACTTCGCGCCGCCAGCCTGCGAGGCGCACGCGCGAGCAGCGCGACCGGGCGCCGCCGAAGACTGCGCCCAACAGGGAGGTGAACGCCAGGGCGCTCTCGGCGCCGCCGACAGTCTAATGGGCGAGGTGGCAAGTGGTGGCCTGGTCCGCGACGGGGCTGAGATACTCTGCAACTCCGAACAATCGAGGGCCCCAGACAAAGAGAGATGTGGCGCTGGACATTCCAGCGGAAGCTGGCAGCGGCAGCAGCAGGATAACGCACCAATAACGTTCCCAGAACATGGGCTCGGAGGTTTTAGGACCAGTTCTATGCACCGCCGACTTAAAAGGAGGGATCAAAACTTCAGACCTCCTGCGATTACGGGATGCCTTGAAGCGGGCGTTCGCAAAGCGCGCGCCTGGAGGTTTCCTGGAATTCGGCGCCCAAGGCCTGGCGCCCCGAGCCCAGGGCTCGCGGGCAAGGCCCCCCCCTTCAGTTTCGGGCCTCGGCGCCACGCATCGGCGCCCGGAACGCCTCGAGGCGGGCGTGCTGCCCGTGCAAGATGCACTCCTGAAGGCTTCCTGGAATTCACTTCAGAGCCTGGCTCCAGGCCCTCGACGTTATGCCTCGAGGCGGGCTTCCTGCGCGCAAGACGCACGCCCCCCAAGGACCAGCAACTCGATGCCCAGGGCCTGGCGGCCCGTGCCTAAGTGGGGCCCGCGGGCAAGGCCCCCCCGCTTGAGGCCGCGGCGCCACGCGGCGGCGCCCGCGGGCCAGGGCGTGGGAACGACGGGATGCCTTGAGACGGGCGTCCTGCCCGTGCAAGCCGCACTCCTCACAGAGCGAAGCCCCTCAGGGATCAGGGGCCAAACGCTGGGGAGAGAGGCGGGTTCCGGGGGAGCTCACGGACAGTACCGCCCTTCCCAGGGGGTCCCCGCTGTCCCGGGGAAGGTCCCCAGCGGGGGTCCCCAGGGAGGTCCCGAATGCAAGCGGGGGGGGGGGATGGTCCTGGGTCAGAGTACCGCCCCTCCCCCGGGTCCCTGGGGGGGGGATCGCCAGCGGGGGTCTCGGGGGGGGTCGCCAGCGGGGGTCGTTGGGGGGGGGGTCGCCGGCGGGGTCCCAGGGGAAGTCCCGCTTGTGATGGAGGGGCCCCATGGGGGGGTCGCCGGCAAGGGTCCCGGGGGAGGTGCCGCCTTGGTCGGCGGCACCGGCCGTAAGGCGTTCGCAATCATATAGTGCATGTCTGACTTGCTCGTTTGCCACCATCCTTCTCGTCCTCCTCCTCGCTCGCTGCACGCTGATAACCACGAAGCCGTTTCACGCTGGCCACCTCCAAGGTCGCTGCAGGACAGCTGCCGTGCCGTATTGTTTGGGGGCCAGTGGCCAAAACTACACATCTGGGGGAAAATGGTCGATTCCCCCGCCCTCTCCAGGTTGCCCCAGGATTCCCCCCCGAACAGACCTCCAGCTCCGAGAGGCCCCAAGCGGCCTCGAAGCGAGCCCCAAGAGGATCCAACACGGCCCAAGAAGCACCCCCCAAGAGGGAGCCCCCAAGAAGCACCCCCCAAGAGGGAGCCAAGAAGCTCACAAGGCGAATGTGGTATTTTTCGTATTGTCGAGATGGCGGATAGAGGCCCCTGGATGGCGCCAGTGATTCAGAACCTATCCCCAACTAGAACCACGCGCGCGCGCTTCGCGCGCTTAGGTTCCAGTCGACTCCGAAGACGGTGTCAATTTCCATGGGACCTTTTCCATGTGGTCTTCCGGGCTCCTCCCTTTCACCCATGCGTGATTTTTGGGCGGATACTGCGAAGTTCAAGGGAGGGGTTGGCCTGTAGCGTACCAGCGACGACCGATGACGACGACGACGACGACGACGACGACGACGACGACGACGACGACGACGACGACGACGACGACGACGGACCACCGACGATCAGCATCATTGTCACCTGATCCACGTGTGCGGGAGAGGCGTTTCCGGAGCGTTTTGCGGGCGTCATGGGGGCGTCCTCGGGCCTCGACATTGGGTGGGCGGGTCGGGGGGGTGCAGCCAGGGCCACGTGTTCCGAAGGGCTATTCCGGAGCATGGAGGACGAAGGGCTTCTGGCGGGCTTCTGAGGGTCTGTGTAGAGGCCTCCTGCGAGCTCGGTGCGGGGTTCTCGGGAGCTTCTCGGGTCGTTCTGGAGCCTTTTTTGGTGGCTTTTTGGGGCGTCGTGGAGGCCTCCTAGGAGTCTCTTGGGGCCTCATGGGGGCCTCTTGGGGCAGATGGCGCCTCTGTTCGGGCATTTGGGGGGATCTCTGGAGCCTCCTGGGAATACCTTGGGCCAGCTTGGGAGCCTCTGGAGGGGTCCGGGGCCCCTTCTGAACCCTCTTGGAGTCCTCAAGGCCCCCCCAGCCCCCCATGCGAACCAGAAATTGCAATTCTGGGCCCATCCCGCAACCGTGTCTGGGTTGTGGGTTAGAGGCTTCTCGGATGTTCGCTGGGATGATATCGTGGGATGCCTCTCGGGGGGCCGTTTGGAAGCAGGTTTGAAGGCTCCACGGGGCTTGTCGGACCTCTCTTAAGCATCTTTGGGGCCTCGTTGGAGCCTCTTGGAGCCACTTGGGGGCCTCTTGGGGCCTCTTGGGGTTCTCTGGGGGCGGGAAACTCGAAAGGTCGGTTCGCGTTCCTTCTCTTGGGCCCATGTTGGAGCCGTCTTAAGGCCCTCTTCAGGCCCTCTTGGACCGTCTGCCGTCTTGGGGGCCTCTTGGGCCGATCATGGGGCTCTTGGGCTGTTTGGGGGGCATGTTGGCGGCCTCTTGGGGGCCTCTTGGGGCGACGTTGGAGGCTTCTTGGGCAGTCTTGGAGTGTCGGCAGCTCGAAAACGTGAGAAGCAACAAATATTTGAAACACACAATGAAAATCAATGATTTTGGCGTCTTGAGGCTCTCTTGGAGGTCCTCGCGGAGCGACCTTGGGGTATCTTGGGGGCCTCTTGGGGCGATCATGGGGCCATCTTGGGCGGCTTGGAGCGCTCTTGGGCCGTCTTGGCTGCCTCTTGCCGTCTCCAGAAGCCTAGGTGGACGCCTCGGGGAAGCGGAAACAGTTCTGGGACTCCGAAAACGGGCCCCTGGATGCCGAAAAAGGCCCCCGCAGCCCAGGGGGCAAATTCGGTTACGGGGGGGGTAGAGTTTGGGAAAAGTGTGCGACCCTGGGCCGCGGGGCCCCGGACGCCGCTTATGTTATATATGCGGCCCACCGGGGACCCAAGATGCTCCAAAGATCGCTGCCCAAAATGCGACAATTCTGCCCGCGAAATGGAGGCCCGACCTGCTACGCACTCAGAGACGATGGCCTCGCCCGCAGAAGGGCACGACGCTGCCCATGCAGCCGAGGGGTGACGCGGCGCGGGCCGCGAACGACAGCGGTGGCGACTTGTAGCTCGTTCGTCTTTTGGTGTTCCTCGTCCAGCGACGGACTGAGCGTGGATCTCGTGCAGGACATCTTTCTCCTCGGGCGCAATCCCACCAGCCCTCTGGGCGCAGGTGGCTCTGGTCGATAGCTTTTCCAAGCCCCTTCTTCCCCCTCGGGGAGGGGTTCATCACTGCTCCCTGTTGATAAGCCCTCCCTGCCCCACTCGGCCGGCCGCCGATCAGGATCCGTGAGCCACTGCGCACCATCCCTGTCAAGAACAATGCAGAGTGCACGTGGCGGCAAAATCTGGTGAGCGGGATCCCGACGAGGATGTCCATGTCTGTCCGCTGTGCGATGCCCCGCAGCCCTGTCAAAGGCTAATGCCAATTCGTTGCGAGCGCACACACACACCATACACTGTATGGTCAACTTTCACGTGGAACTCACAAGGATCAGTGCGGTGCGGGGACGGGTGCGCGGAAGGGTGACCAGGTGGGTGCGCGAACGAAGCGCGCAACTATCGCCCAAAACTAAACCATTGCATGTCTTGTTAGATTTTCACCCGCATGTGTTCGACCTCCGTAGTTCCCGTTTCCCGGTCTTCTGTCTGCCCTTCCCCCCCGCGCGCTTCCGCGCGCCCTCGTATCCCCCTCGTAGGGCTTGGACGGCAGGGGGGCACGGGGTGGCGAGGGGAAGAGAAGGAAGAGAAAGTCAACGAGGAGCGTGTTCCAGGAGGGTGGGAGAGAGAGAGGGAGAGGAGGAGGAGGAGGAGGAGGAGGAGGAGGAGGAGGAGGAGGAGGAGGAGGAGGAGGAGGAGGAGAGATGAGAGAAGGAGAGCGGGTGGGAGAGGGAGAGGGAGAGAAGGAGGAGAAGGAGGAGGAGGAGGAGGGGGACATGATGGTGTATGGTGTATGGTTATGGTCCATACACCTCATGGCCCATACACCTCATCGGCCACCCCGCCGTCACTTTGCAGTGTTTCTTTGCACGGTTATGCACCGCGCGGTGACGGTTGGCTGCAACTTTTCCTCAGACAATGCGGCGAACAGCGCCAGCGCGTGGCGCCACTCCCCGCCCTTCGCGCACGTGCTGACCGCAGCATTGTAGATGATGACGTCCGCCTCCAGCCTCGCCTCCCGCAGCCCGTCCAGCAGCGACAGCGCCTGCTGCCAGTGCCCGCCGCCCTCGCACGAGCTGATCCCGGCGCTGTAGCTCACGACGTCTGGCTCCACGCCCGCTCCTCCCATCCCGCCGAGCACAGAAGACAACAAGAACAGAGCGCACCCAACGCTCTTCCACAAGCGAGGGGGGCGGGGATCGTGCGGGGATGCAGGAATGGGCCGTCCTCTGCGGAACGTGGGGAGGTTGGATCGCTCGAGGGCGTGGGTTCGGTCGGCGCGGGGGTCCAGAGCGGGCCGCTCGGCGGGGTGGCACGGGAAGGGTGCCTGTGGAACCCCCTTCTGGACTTCGCTCAGAGGTCCGTGCGGGCTCCTGGGGTCGGCGCTGGGCCCCCGCCCCAGAGCCCCCGGGAGCGCGCCCCCGAAGGGGTCTGGATCGGGGGGCTCCTCCCCCTCCTCCTCCTCCTCCTCCTCCTCGTCCTCCTCCTCCTCCCCCTCCTCCCCCTCTCCTCCTCCTCCTCCTCCTCCCCCTCCTCCTCCTCCTCCTCCTCCTCCTCCTCCTCCTCCCCCTCCTCCTCCTCCTCCTCCTCCTCGCGGCCTCCTGAACACCGACGCGCCTCGGGGTGGCCCGCCAGGTCTGCCAGGCAGGCGAAGGGCCAGCGCCACGGATCGCGAGCGCCTGGCGGGTGATGATATCCGCGCACGCGTGCGCCCCAGCCGTGGGCACGTGGGGCCGAGAGCCGCCCAGAGCGGCGCGTCGCAGACAGCTGCACCGCCCTGCCCCCCCCCGAAAAAACAACAAAAAAAACAACAACAACAACAACAACAACAACAACAACAACAACACAACAACACCAACAACAACAACAACAACAACAACACCAACACCAACAACAACAACAACAACAACAACAACAACAACAACAACAACAACAACAACAACAACAACAACAACAACAACACAACAAACACCACCACCACCACCACCAACCACCACCACCACCACCACCACCACCACCAACAACAACAACACAACAAACAACAACAACAACCACAACAACAACATATCTTTGCCTTAGGGACAAGGAACTTGTGGGAAACGGGTCCTGGACCCTGGGGCATTCCCCCACGACGAACTGTTCGTCTTGAGCCGCTGTGGAAGATCCCAGGGCCCGTGGGGGGCCCCACAGGAAACCCGAAAGCGGCGAACAAAAATCAGGAACCGTTTCCCTCAGGATCCTGTTCCTTCACGGCGAGCATTCGAGGCCCAACACCGACCCCGCGAAGCCGCGCGGGTCTCCGAGCGCTAGTGTTCACTCAGTTGTTCTGTCTTCCAGAGCAGCGCCAAGGCCTGCCGCCACCGCCCAGCCTTCTCGCATGCGCTGATCGCGGCATTGTAGGTGAGACGGTGAGACCAGAGTGGCCCCGTCAAAAATGGCCACACAAGACGCCGCGAAGCGAGCGGGAGCTCCTCCCTTTTCCTCCTCCCCTCGACCCCTCCCCCCTCGCATCGCCCCCTCCATTTCGCCCCCTCCTCCCGCCCTCCCTTTCTGTCTCTCTCTCCCTCCCGGTCTCCCTCCCTCCCTCCCGGTCTCCCTCCCCCTCCCCCCCTCCAGCCTGGGCCCGGGTCCTCCCGCGCGCTCCGCCGCAGGCGCGCGCCCCCCAGGGGTCCTCTCACCCCCCCCCCCCTGGCCGGGCTGGACCCTGGCGCATTCGGCGGGCGACCGAGCTGCACCTAGGCTTTTCCTCCCGGTCGAGCCATGCCCCGCGCCGCGGCTCCGGCGCACGCGCCGCGCACGACGGCCCCAGCATAGCGTACCACCTCGTCCGCCAGGCGCAGCAGTCCGAGGGGCCGCAGGCGCAGCCGCCGAACCGCGCCATGTTCAGCGTCGCGGTCCGCATCGACAGCAGCCGCCAGCTGCTCGCACGCCCCAGGCTGGCGACCACACGCTGCGCGTACCAGTCCCTGACAAGCCACAAGGTCCTCGACATCTGCGGGGTGAGATTCGCGGTCTCCCCGTGCAAAAGCCTCAGGAATTCTAGATCGATGTTTACGATGTTCGCGGCGCGTTCCAAGCTCGTCGCGCCGGGCTCTTCCGCCCCCCCCGCCAGCCAGAGTGATCCTCATCCTCTTCGTGGCGTTCTCCATGGAGACCTTCAGGATCAGCGCGTTGACCTGCGCGCGTCCTGCGTGACCTTCGCGACGCCCTCCAGGCCGCTCCCCGCTCTACGTGGAGACGGGGAGATCGCAGCGCCCCCGGTGGTCCACGGGCCGCGGTGCCCCGCCTTTCGCCCGCCAACCAAGTTGGTCATCGGGCTGCAACTTGCGCCGCAGGCGCGACCCCCAGTGGCCGCCAGGCCAAAACTGCAGTCTGTCGCGCCATCGCTGTTCATTGCGACCCTCCCGCCGAGCACCCGCAAACCCCAGCGGCAGCCAGCCGCCGGGGCCGCCGGGCCTATCTTGCCATCGGCCTCCTCTCGTTGATCATCGACGTCTGGCGACCGACTCTGGCGTCGGGCCGAATGAGCACCAGGTCAACACGCCCCCGCGTCGTCATCCGCGTCGCAGCCCATTGCAAGCCACTTCCAGAACGCCGGCCGACCTCTGCGAGCAACAACCGCGGGGGCCACCGGGCCAGCGCCGCAGCCGCTAAGGCCCCCAGTCGGGCCGCCAGGCCCACCCTTCAGCCCGCCTTCCAGAAAAAAGGCCCACCGCGACCCTTCCTTCGTGCGCGCGCCGCATTCCAGCGCGGCTCAGGACGACCGAATCCATGGCTACAGCCGCCGAACCAAAACTGCATCCAACCCCATGTTGTAATTCATATTTGCCCGCCCACAGAGAGCCCCGACTGCTGCTGGCGCCAGCCAAGGTGGCCACCGGGCCCGCGCGGCAGCCATCCTTTCCGCCGCGGCCCAGACCCCTCTGTCGAGGGTCCGACAGCCGCCGGGCCAACGCTCCAGCCAGTTCCCGCGATGTCGCCCAAGGCGCAAATTGTTGCGACCGCCCCCCTGAGCGCCCGCGGAATTCCGGAGGCAGTGGCAGCGAGGGCCACCAGGCCCACGCTGCAGTCAGCCCTTCCGCCGCGGCCCAATCTCCCGCAGAGGGTCTCGCGACCGCCGCGGGGCCGCTCGCGGCGGCCACCCGGCCCTCGCTCCAGCCTGCCCCCGCAATGTTGCTTAAGGCGTTGTCCGCTGCGACCATCCCGCCAGGCGACTGCGGCGGACTCAGGGGCGCCGGCCGCGGGGGCCACCGGGCCCGCGCTGCAGCCGGCCCTCCCGCCGCGATTCACTGCGACCCCCCAGCCAGAGGTCCGTCGGCCGGCCCCTTCGAAACGCTCGGCGCGGCCACAGGGCCAAAACTGCACCCGGCCCGCGCGTTGCAGCAGGCGAAGACCCCAACTCCTGGAGTCCGCTGACTACCACTGCAGGCTTGTAGCAGTCGCCAAAGGGCCATGGGGGCAGCGCGGCAGCCGGCCCTCCCTCAGCGATCCATTGCGACCCCCGCCCCGAGAGGCCGCCGACCGCTACTGCAACCGCTCAATGGGGGCACCCAGGCCGCAACCCCAGCCAGTTTCCGCAACGTCGCCCATGGCGCAGTCCGCTGCGATATTCCTTCGCAGCGCCCGCGGGCTCTCACGGGCATCAGCTGCGGGCGCCGCGGGGCCCGCGCGGCAGCCAGACCCTCCGCCGTCGTTCACTGTGACCCCCCAGCCGGGGGCCCGCTCAGCGTGGCCACCAGGTTCCGCCAGTCCCCGCGTAATCTCCGACGGCGAAGTAAGTCCGTTGCTTCCCGCCCTCTGGATGTCTGTCGGCACTCGGGTGCACTAGCCGCGGGGGCTGCGGGGGCCGCGTTGCAGCCAGCCCCCCCCCGGCGCAGCCCCTCGCGACCCCTGTTCCAGGCGCCGGCCGACAACCGCGGCGGGAGATTTCCAGGGGGGCCACCGGGCCCGCCCTGCAGCTGGTCGCCCTGAAGTAAACCATCGCGACCCTGCCCCCGAAGATCCGCCGACTACTCACGGGCCCCGCGATGTCCGACGACCGTCCGATGGCTGTGAGACGACGCTGACGCGACCGGCGACCGCGCGTCGGCCGCCCGCCGGCCATGTGGCCCCAGGTCGGTCGGGCGCGCCCCTCTACATTCGAATGTTGGGCGAAAGTAACAATACAACTAACAAATCTGCAAAACAAAACCACGAAACATCCAAGAATCGCCTCCACCTTATGGCTTGATTGTTAAACATATTCCTCGTGTAGAGGGCAGGCGTGACTTGAGTTTTGGCCCCCAACGATGGCTGTCCGATGGCCGCCGAAGACCGCCCGCCGACCGCCGGACTGACCGCCGACGACCGACTGTCCATTGTCCGTCATCTGACGACTACGCTCGACGACCGCCTGCTGCCCACAGACTGACGCTCGCCCAAACGCGCGGCGCCAGCCGCCATGCAGCCGCAACGGGTCGCCTTTGTCTTCCCGGTCGCGCGTGGCAGCTGCTTCGCAATCTCCGGCCCCCCTCCTCGCGACGCGCAGGCTGGCTGATGGCGTGGCCGCCGACTTCCAGGTTGCCGCCTCGGAGCCACTGCGAGAAGACGTCTGGCGAGCGACGCCGCCGCGGCCCCCCAGAATCGAAGGCATATACAACTGCGCGCAACAGAACTGCACCTTGTTGCGGGGGCCAGGGGTGGCAATCATAATTAAAGTTGGCGCGTCGGTCGGTCTGGGTGGACGGGCGCCGCCTCGCGCCCGATGGAAGGCGATGGTCGCGCCGGCGACGTCGCGCGCCAGGCGTGGAAGCGATCGCCGCGTTTCGCGGCGATGCTTGGCGGCAGCCGCAAGACAAACAGGACGCGAACAACCGTTTCACCCTCGGACGGAGAACCGGCACGAAGGAGAATTCGAAAGCGCGGGGGATCGGATCGCGAATTTGCTGCTGGGGCACAGGCGGGGGAGGGGAGCTGGCTGCGCGAGGTCGAGGCCCTCAGGCACGCGGCTGGCTTCGCTGAACCAGGGGATGTGGGATGTCGGCGGGAAGCGGCCCAGGGGGCGGGGCCTCGGCGATGGGCAGCGCGGGCAGCCGATGCTTCGCGAGAAGGGGGCGCGTGCAGAACGACGCCCAGCGGCCGGGGCGCGGCGCGCGTTGGGAGCGCGAGCGGCGGCGCCCGATGTGCACCCCGCCCCCCTGGCTAGGTGTAGTCCTATGAATGCCCCGTATTGTGGGGGTGTCTCCGGCGAAACCAGCGCGCGCAGAACTGCGCCTAATGCCTGGCTAAGTGTAATTCTGAACGGGATGGATGTCTCGCGCGGGGCGAGCATGCGCAGACCGGCACCTAGCGACAGGGGCGGGGAACAGGTCGGGCGAGTCGTCGCGCCCCGCCCGGAGAGTTAGGAAGGCATGGGCCGCTGAACCCCCTGCTGGCCTCCGGGCGGAGGTGTCTGAATGTCCCGGGGCTACCAGAAGGAATTCCAAATGCGGCCTCCGCCCACGTCGCCCCCCCTATCAGAGCATCTCGCCTGGTCACTGCGTTCCCCATTCTCGCCCGCTGCTTTGCCCTCCCCCCCCCCGTTCTTCCTCTACCTGCAGCCCTCCATTTCCCTGGGCGTTTTCCAATTGCCCCTGGCCCCTGCGCGGCGGCAAACGCCCGCGCCCCCCCGCAGCTGAAAGACTTGCGCCTCGCACTCGCGAGGCGCAAGTCTCGATTCCAGACTGGCGCTGGCAAGCGACGCCGAGGCCCCGGCAAATCCAACAGGCGCGATCGGCCCCCTCGAATGGCGGGCGAACCAATGCGCAAGATGATGTCGCACAAAAATAAATTTGGAATTGGGGGGTCCGCGCGAGAAGCTAATCCACTCGCCCAATGTGTAGTTCTATGCCAGTCCGACAGAAGTTGACCGCGCCCACGTCCGCGCGGCGACCCCCCGGCTGGCCACCCAGGCACCGCCGCGAGCGTCGCCCGCGCGGTTCGCGCCGCGCCGCGCCGAGGGTCGCGCCAGAGCACCTGCTGCAGCCACCATGCTCGCTGCTCGCTTGCGCCGAGTGCCGCGCGCAGACCTGCCGCGGGAGGGCGCCGACGACCCCCCCCCAGCCATTGCTTGAATCTGTCGCGGGCGGCAGGTCTGAAGGTGGGCCTGGACGCCGCGACGGCTGACCATGGGTGCTCTCTCCGGCGCTTCAGCCGTCAACTCCATCTCAGTAGAAGGATTTGGCCGCCAATTCCATCTTAGAGAAAGAACGTGGCCGTCAACGTCGAGTTGACGACCCCCATTGGCGGCCTGCTTCCGACGAACCACCCTTGCGGTCTCTCTCCGAATTGACGAACACCTGTGACGGTCTCTCTCCTTGACGGCCTCCTTCTGGGGTGATGAACCCCCGTGGCGGCCTCCCTCCGAGTTGATGAACTCCCTTGAAGGCCCCCCCCTGCCGCCGCCTCCGTCTTGACGAACAAAGCGTCGGGGCCGAGCTGATGGTGGGGAACGACCCCAATCTTGATCAACAAAGTGCCGGAGCCGAGTCGACGGCTCCTCTCGTCTTGGCGAACGAAGTGTTGGAGCTGGATTGACCATTGCTGTCGCCTTAGCGAACGTAGTCTTGAGGCCGACTTGACGACCGTTGCGGGCGCTTCTCCAGACATGCGCCGTCTTAGCCACTGGGTTGGACTCCAGCCAGCGCGCATCCCTCCGCGCGTCCCCGCTCGGCCGCCAGCGACAACGCCAGCACCATCACCCGCTGCGTCGGGGCCATCAGGGCCCGCCAGCAGATTGAGCCGATGCGCTGACCGCCGACGCTGGCCTCAGTCCTTCCCTCGCACCTCCACCTATCTGCGAAGTCGCCGAGGTGGCGGTCGCCAACCACGGGCGGAAGCCCATCGACGGCCACCACGGCGCCATCGTCGGCCGAGGAGGGGGAACGCAACCAGCCCTGGGTGGTCCAGCTGACCAATGGTAGCGCTGCCCAGCTGCGCACATCCAGCTTGCTAGCTGCCACCCTTAGCGGGGAGGGGTCCTTCGACGTCCCGCCGCGGACCCAACAGACCAGCCACCGACGATCGGCTGCGCCCGCCCGCCGCCTGCCCGACGACTACCCGACGACCGTGCGCCGACGCCCGCCGCCGACAGCCACCGAACGGACGTCGACCGACCGACGCACGCGCCTGACGATCAGGCAGCCGCGCGCCGACGCCACCCTACTGCGGTTCCTGGCACCCCCCCCGCCGGATGACCGTCGAGCACCGCTGGCACCTCCCAGTAGGTCCGCCAGGCGCACGCGACAGCCAGACTATATAGACTGTGTGACGTCACGCACGCCGTCCCCTTACCCCGTGCCACGAAGGGCTTCGCGTGCCCCCCCATCATCCTCCTGCGCGCCCCACTTCGAACACTCCCTCCCTGGCTGGCCACCGCTGCCCGCGAGCTGGTCGCTCTCTTTCCCGTCTGGCCCCACCATGCAGCGCGCTGCCGCAGCGGCACCGACGAGGCCCATTGCCCGCCGCGGGCCTCGCTCTCGCCCCTCGACGCCCCTCAGAACAGCACGCCGCAAGGCGCAGCCGCACGGCGCAAGCCGGACCGGCGGCTTCCGTCCGTGACGCGGGGGGGGGGGGGGAGTAGGAGTAGGAGTAGGAGTAGGAGTAGGAGTAGGAGTAGTAGGGGTAGGAGTATGAGTAGGAGTCAAGCTAGCCAGCTCGAGCGAGTCAAGCATGGCATGCCCAGTCCCACCCGCCCTCCCACAACATAAGAAGCAAAACTAGCACAACTGGGGGCCGAAGTCACACCGGCCAGCCGGTTTGGTACAGCTGATGCGGCCGCGATGGCGGTTGCCGACGGGAACTGGCGAGCGCGCGTTGAATGCCGCGCACGCATTGCCAGACGAGTCGAGAATGGCCCGGTACACCGCAGGAAGCCAGAGGTGGCCGGAGGAAGCCCGACGGTCTGACAGGACACCCCAAAGCATTTTTGTGAAAAAGCATTGGGTTTTTGATGTTTTTATGTTGAAATGCTTGCAAACACACGGTGTTCGGTAGGATTCTGACATGAACGCGCGAGTGTGCTCTTTGTGGTATTTTTTGCACAGGATTCGCGGCCTGGGTGCATGACAGAGCATCGCGAGTGCACCGCGCGATGACGCGAAATCGCTGGATTTGACCGAATTCTTAAGATCCCTATGGTTTTCCTATGATTTCAGCAAGAGAGCCCGGGCGGGAAATTTGTACA